TTAAATTGACCTTAAAGCTTCTTCTGACATTTGAGTAGACACTGATTTTTTTCTGTAAATATACAAACTGATGTTCTTTAATTTTAAAGTACGTTTAACAACATGTTTCAAGAAAAATGTTTCTGTACATTAGAAGAAATAAAAGTGGGTTCCCACAAATTTTCATGGAAGTGGAAAATTGTTACAGATAGCTTCTCATGATCTCTGGGCACGGAACCGAAAAATATTGTTATCCATGGGATTTGAAATCCTAGGGCCCGTAAGTGAACTCCTTAACCTTTGGAAATCTTGAAGGAATGTGGATCCACAATGGATCAGATGTGAAGCACACATTTAGTTTTACCATGCAGCTAAGTATTCTCATATACTACCTCTCTATGTAGAGAACTTCACTGGTTACCAGTTTAAGCTTGTATAAATTTTAAGATTCTTCTTATTACAGTTAAGATACTTCAGGGTTTAGCGCCGAGCTATCTCAAAAAATTAATTTCTATGATGCCTGCTTCACATTATCAACTAGGGTATCTAAACAATAGTAATGATGCGGCACATTTTGTTGATACTGATGTGGAATGTCATGTTGGAAAGTAATAATTACTATCGGTCGATAGAAAGAACTCATTTGAACCTTGTTAAAAAAATGATCAAATGCTTATCAACTCTGATTTCTCACAGTACGTAAATTGTAGCAAATGATAGAAATTCAGATTGTTTATCCATATATTTAATATACAATGTACTATCTTTTCTCTGGAAACATGATACTTTTCTTACTGTTTATTAATGCACTTTATTAAATAACAGTTGTTTAGGTAAATATTTATAGAAAACAACAGCACAAATAAGCAAACAAAACAAAACAAAAAAGAAAAAAAGATAAAATACTCAGAGTAGGACTTGAACGCTGCACCTTCGGCTCAAATTCCTTCTATATGCTACCACAATTAGTCTAAATACCTTTTTTTTCAGTACACCACAAGGGCTAATTACGTTACCTTGGGGAAAAGTCTTTCGTTGAATGCTTTTTCCATGCAACTTCCGCCAGCAAACGGTGTTTAAAGATGATCGAGCGGCATTAACCAAGCTATTGACAGTAAAAAAACAATGTAAATTCTATTGCAATAATTCAATGAAAGAACATAATTATGCTTTACAAAATGCCGATACATGTCCTCGTCTGCAAAGTAGGATGCAAAACATATGTTTTGTTATCTCAATTTCTGCTGTTATTTTGAAGCTTAAATGGTCAAAATCACATCCATTTCCAGCTCATACAGGTTCTTAAGAAAAGCATGGCATGATATTTTCTCACTATCACAGCACCTTCTAGCAAGCTGGAATTTGTATATCATCCCTGTTACTGAGTCAAAGAGCAAATGCTTTTTAATGCCGGGACGAGTCAAAGGCTCTTTAAATCCAATCCCCAAGTTAACCATCGTACTCATCTAAAAGACTGTACTCGGCCTGGTGTCTTAAATTTGGTAAGACCTCTCACCCCGCTGTAGAAAGTTTATCTCACCGAACTGCTCAAAAATGGCACAGAGCACTCTCATAAAAAGTGGCACAGTGCACTCTGGTTAAAAGCAATGCATTCTAGTAAAAAGACTAGTGATGAATTGAGAATTTGTCCCACCTTATATTTTTCTCTTAGATCCTGATTATGTTGCTGCTTGCTTGCTGCGCTCGTTCTGTACCAATTACATCGTAATTATAATGGCACATTACTAGAAAGTCTGTGTTTTACAACGAAAAGACTTTTGGGGGATCAATTGTTTATGGTGGCGGCCCCAGTCCTTTGGAACAATCTCCCTTTCCCATTAAGGCAAGCCAAAAATATTGATTCTTCTAAACATTTACTTAAGACTTATTTATTTTCTCTGGCGTTTTGTCAGATTTTAGGTACATTTTATTTTATTTTTATTTTTTGTTTTTAGCATTTATCTGTTTTATTTTTTTACAACACTTGTATATAGTTTACCCAACAGGTATAAAACGGTATATAATTTTAACACTTTCTTACATACATTTTTTATAAAATAAATCTATTTTTGTTCTTAAAGACTATTTATTATTGTAATGCACTTTTTATTATTTCTATAAAAAGGGTGCACTATAAATAATAAATGTTGTTGTTGTTGTTGTATGTCTTTGCTGGACCTAGGCAGGGGGGGGGGGGCGGAGGGAGCGTGGGTTATTGTTTGGTGAATGACTGTACCATCAGCCAGGTAGTGCAACAACTCTGGTACTAAAGCAATAGTAATATGTAACTAAGGGAAAACTGCTCTTTGTCTTGACATTTATGGGCCTTGATTTTATTATATAGGTTACTGCTACCAATCAATTCAAATTTCATGATGTGTGGGTTCCAGAAGTCAATGATCCATGTACCAATTGCAAGCTTTGGTAAGTCATTTTGAATTATCGGATATTTTTGTCATAATCAGAATTTTATTATTGCATAAAGAATGTTTGGTCTTGTAATATTAAAATAAATTCCCTG